AGGTTAACTGCACTAATGACCCAGAATGAAAATATCTTCTAAAAATATTTTCTTAAAAACCCTTGAAATAAAATATCTTCAAAAGATATTTATGAAAGTAATCACAACATGAAATCAAATATCTGACTCCACAGACTTTTTAGATAATTTCAAATCTCAGAAAGTAATCACAACATGAAATCAAACTTGCAAATTTTATTGAAAAATTTAGAAATTAATCTACCAAGTTCATGTGTGTGTGTGAAATCCAATCTCATCCATCTTCGGTTGAATTTCAACAGATCATTGTCTAAACCTTATTGATCGAAAAGCATCAAGATAAAATTGTTTTGAGCAATTTTTCTAAGCAAAGCGGCTTTCACTTTAAAGAGTAGTCAGCAATTCCCCAACTCAACTTATCTCCACTTTTAGCTTCAATTCACAGTTTAATAGGAGCTTTCAATCAAATGTCAATAGGTAGCCTTTTCCTTAGCAAAGTATTCAGTAACTTTCAAAATTTTCTTTCTTTTCAAGTTGAATATTTTTCATTTTTTTTTTTTTTTACTCCTATTTTTTTTTTATACAATAATCTTTATAACTTTTGTGAACAATAAACCCTAGTCAACAGATCAAAAGATTTTCAACCAAATTTGTCAGAGCTGGACTAGTGCACAAAAGTCTATGAACTTAAGAGATTTAAATCTAAAAATCTCCTAATCAATGCAAATCATCTTTCATTATATACATTACAAACCAAGAATCTATTTTTATTCAAATTATCATGTGTCTCAATTTGCATTCAAAGATAGATCATAAATTCCTTAAAAGAATTTTCACATGTATATCAAGAAGATTATGATTAGAAATTCAAAACCCTAACCAAACCCTAACAAGTGATCCAATGGCAACAAAATTTTCTTTTAAGCACAAGCCATGATCACTGAATTTTATAAGACTCAGTTTGATGGTAAAGTCCTTTTGGAATCTAGTTTCAAGGACTCAACAGGCACAAAATTGATCAAATCAGTCTTTTTGATCCAAACAGACTTTACTCTTACTTCCTGAAATTCTCTCTCATTATTGACCTCTTTCTTAGGCAAATTTACAGCTTTAGAAAACTTAGGTGGCACAAAATTATTTTTCTTTTTAGAAAACACCTTTTTCTTAGCTTGAATATTCTGAGAATGAATTTTCGATGACTTTTCCTTTTTTCTTTGAAAACATGAGTGATACTTATGTCCAGTCTTACCACAGAAAGTGCAATGCAACAGTTTAGGCATATAAGACATATAAGAATGCAATGAATCAGACAAACATGGTTTAGGCATATCAACAGGTTTAACAAAAATTATTTTACCTTGACTACTAGATGAACCTCTAATAAATCATAACCCAGTTTTATCATTTACATCATTTCCCATGTTAATTATCTTATTTAAACTGTTTTGACTCATATTGAACCCTTTCAGTTTATCTTGTTCAGATTTCAATTCAATTTCAAGATGATCATTTTTCAAAGCAAGAAATTCCTTCAATGAGTTAGCAATACTTACCTTATCCTCAGGAATGATAATCTACTTCTTATGGTCAGTGATGATAGAATTGATTTCAAAAGCTTTCCTTTTGCCTTCATCAATCTGTTTTCTTAGATTTTCATTCTCTCATTTTACTTGGATAAGCTCCTTTGCTAGCTTATTGATTGCTTGTTTTACTTCTATGGTTTCTTTGACCATCTTTTTCAATCTTTCATTGTCTTTTTCAGCCTCCTCTACCTGTTCATCATGAACTTCATTGTCTTCATTATCTGAAATATCAGAGTCACATAAAGTAACAACTTGAGGACCTCTTTTAAGAAACGCGACATAAGAAAAATCATTAGTATCATCCTGAGGAGAATCATTATCATTTAAAGTAAAACATTGGATGCGTGACATTTGCAATCACAATTCCAGTAAACGAATTCATTTTCTTTTAATTTTTCTACTTTCTTTTCATTAAACCTAAACTTTGACTTTTTGTCAAAATTTTGAGGATTAGCCGTGTTGCTATTCCTTCTACTCTGTTGTCTTTGCAAAATCTGACTGAATTACCTTGACAAAAATACAAGATCATCATCAGAGTTATCATCCACATAATTCTCAACCTGTGTAAATTTAAAGCAAGATTCTTCTCTTTCTGATTTAAATCAAAGTTCTGCATCTCAAAAGTTTTTAATGAACCTACCATCTCATCAACTTTACAGGTAGTCAAATCCCAATGTTCAATGATGGTTTCAACTCTAATCTGGAATCTTTTAGGTAAAGACCTTAAGATTTTCTCACAGATTTTCTTATCACTAACTTTTTTACCTAAGTGACGCGGTTCAGAAATTATTTCAAGAAAACTAGAATAAAAATCAGAAAATGATTCATCTTCTTTCATCATGATGTTCCTAAAGTTATGAGAAAGCATCTGAATTTTGGATAACTTCACTTTTGAAGTTCCTTCATAAGTAACTTGTAAAATATCCCAAGCTTTTTTAGCAGTTTTACAATCAGAAATTCTAACATATCCAGATGGAATAACAGAATTAATAATTGAATATAAAGCTTTGCCATTAGCATCATTACGCTCAGTTTCAACAATAGTAAAAACAAAAGCATCTTTTAACTCTTTGATTACTTTACCATCCACAGTTGTATCTACTGTAGGTGGTGTATAGTCAGATTCAACTATTGCCCAAGTTTTACCACCAGAATTTTGCAAATAGGCTCTCATCTTTGATTTCCAAAATTGTAATTATCTTCTTCAAATAAAGGACCACAATGATTAGAACTGCCTTCTTTCAACGCATAAGACAAGATTTTGAAAACAATTTTTGAAAAATAAAACAAAACTTTCCAACAAGGATCAACTCAATGTATAAAGATTGGTTCTGATACCAATTTGTTAGTTGTACGCAGCGAAAAATGCTTAGAAAGTTTTGATTATTTTAAAAACAGATCTTATGTTTTTTCTAACTTACTTTATTTTAGCAATTATTAAATTAATATTATGCAATCTAAATTAAAGCAAAGTAAAGTTAGAGATGACACCAGAATTTTAGCGAGGAAACCCCAGTTGATAAAATACATCAACTATTTGCGTGGGAAAAACCTCATGGACTATGCAGTCCAAAATAAACCAATCTACTATGCTTGAAACAAAGTACACTAAACTTTGACTCTGGCTCACACCCTATCGTTCTACCAAACACCAACAACTGACAATCCTCTGGATTTGCAACTCCCCGTCCAACAGCAACTTGATTTCAGGCTTATGCTTGATCTTTGTAGAAGAGTAGCTAGTAGACCAGACAACACTCCTTGAATGCTCCAACCCTTTCAAAGTGTGATCGCTTTTACTTCTATTCAACTTTTAGATTTGATGTAGAAGTACATCTACTTTTGTCTGATCGATGTAGATGCAACTGTACGATCACGATCAGGATTCGAACAACATAACTCTAAACTCACTAAGTGTTTATGTGTATATGTTCTAGAAAGATAAACAGAAAATTATCTAAGAATTTCTATGACAAAAATCTTCCTAAGGCTTTTAAGAATAATAAACTGATAATGCAAAAGCCATGAATAAACCAATGTATATGACAAGGTTTATATAGAATATCGAATGACCTAATCCCTCTGAAAATAAGGAAAAATTCGTGCATAGGATTTGGTATAATTCTAGACCAACTGGGAAACAAATCAAGAAAGGAAACTAAAAGTTGTACTGTGAACAGGACACCTTGAACTAGTTCAGAAAGGCTGAATTGGTTCAAGTTTGGCCGCAAATAAATTTGAGGCTTGTTTGAGTTCTTGAATCGGTTCAGAGGGGCTGGACCAGTTCAAGTTGTCCAGAACTTGATACTGGTTATTTTCAGCCTAAAAACATTCTACGGACAGTTCTGAAAAATATGGAAAGTGTAGAATGTGTCCTAACCTGTTTAAAATCATTCCTAATGTGTTGTTCTTACCTTTTTCTTCTCTTCAATCATGGTAAATTTGAACAATTTCCCAGTTCTGTAGTCGTTGTCGAACTTGATAACTTTAATTATAACTCGACTTGGATTTGTTTTGTTTACGATAATTGCCAAAAATAAAATAATATCTCACAATTGATACTTTATGCATACTTGTGGTGATTTGGGACAGGTTTTGTGCAAACCAAATGACTATGCCTTGATTCAAGATGGGAAATTAATTTTAAATGAGTAAGAAAACCATTTTGATTTTCTAGGATTGATCCCTTGACCCCTAGGATCAATCCCACCTTTTTTCACCAGAAACTGCATGTTCTGACTACTTGGGATCGATCCCACCACGCCTAGGATCGATCCAACCTTGTTCACAACACAATTTTTTTTGTTTTTTTAAACCCAGAATTCAAATGGCCATAACTTGCCCATCTTAAATCTAAATTGGATCATTCTTGAGTCTAAACTGACCATCTTGAAGTTATATTTCCAATGATACCAACAAATTCCATAATTACAACCACATAAAGATTTATTCCCATTTTAGTGAGACTTGCTCCTAAAAACTCCTAAGTCGAAAATGCATTAGACTCAGTTAGAGTCAATACATCCACCTCCCTTACCTTGAAATGACCATTCTACCGTTGTGTGCTCTAGGGTTTGGGTAATGACCCAGAATTAGATTCATCGCTCGTCAGTGGTCCAGATTCACTAGATTTAGGTCGTTACAAGGGTCCATAACTCTCTTATACTTGAGAGACATCATGTCATAACATTGATGAATTGCTATGACGGCCGTTGCAATCTCTTCACTCATCGTCGATCTGGCTAACTTCTTCGTAGATAAAGAGTCCATCCTCTACCACCGAATTGAACATGTAATAATGAGAAAATAGTGAGTCCCTGGCGCATAAACACCCATCATGCATATGGATTATCCCGTATACTCACAGGATACCTCAACTCATATGATGGATTGATCAACACATTATTCACCATATGTGCATAAAGCATTAAACCACATATTCCATTAAACAAAATGTTTATTATAATTCATATAATTGCTATGGAAGGCAAATAAGTCTCAACAACGGAAAACACAATTGATATCTTGGAAACTGATTAAGATATAACTAAAACAAACTAATTCCAATTTTGTAAGTGTCCCTTTCTCTAATAGGCATTAGGAATCTTTGCCACCCTTTGCGTTGTTTCACTTCCTTTGACTTTTGTTCCTTGGTAGACTTCCTTTCTGGATCATTATTCACTGCCAAGCATACAGAGATAAGCTCTGTGTGGCAAAATTTCGCCAATTCCCTCGCTATTTCTGTAACGTGGCACCTTCCTGTAATTGTTATTCTATCATTGCCTGGTCCTGGACAGACGCCATGAACTCCTACAGAATTCCAACAAAAAAAAAAAAAGAAAGAAAGAAAACATTTGATAGTTCTCTGAAACTCCTTTAATATGGGCAAAAGTAATCTTATACTCCACTCCAAAAAAAAATGATAATTTTGTTTTTATTTTTTTATAAATAGTTATACTCAAATTTAAAGAAATAATTTTTTTTTTTTTTGGATGAAAACATGATGTTCAAGTTATACCTGGAAGAGTCCTAACTTTCTCCATGACATTCCAGTAATAAGAAACATGTTGTTCAAGTTCAAGCTTCAAGCAAAATTCCTACAAGAACAAAGAACACATACACAACAAATTTTAGATATATAGACCATGATTGAAGATTGCAAAAATGCAATACTGATCATGTAAAATAAGTCAACAGAGAGTGTGAAGGGCAATGAGAAAATCAAACCTTGCGTATATTTGAATTTAACCAATACCTGAAATGTACTAGCAGAATTTTAGAGAGAATCTTTGCATATGACCAAAACATTGTACTAGATTTGGCAAACTGAATCATAAAAGAAGATCAAGGTTAGAAAATTACTCTTTCTTGGCAAGTTGAATAGAAATAACCTCGGCCAGTGTCTTTGCTGCTAAAGGAAGGCCTTCGCACCTGTAAATAATTTCATCCTTCATTCTTGACAGAACCTGATGATGATAGCTAGTTAAATATTTCTTTCTTCGAATTGAATCCATGAAAGTTAACCAAAGAGCCTCTGCATCGAATGTGGGCTCGAGTCTGAGCAAGTTTTTCTCACCGACCATGCTTATGGCTACCTCTTCAAATCTACTTGTTACAATGATGGCACCCCCAACCCCCTTCGCCAAGCCATGGGAAAAACGACTAAGGTCTGTGGCGGTGGTGCCATTGTTGTTCTGATTAGAAGTCAAATCGGAGTACCATTCATTTAGGTGGCATACATTGTCTAGCACAATCAAATACTTCTTTCCCAATAACAAATTGTGTAATTCAGTCAGCTGGTCATTAAGATCCTGCAACTGATCACATTTTGCACCCAAATGTGTCAACAAATGAGTTACAATTTCTAGTGGATTTGCTTTTAGAGATAGCTTCACCCAAATTACAGGAGAATAATCTCTCAAGAATTGAAACTTGTGGACAAACAATCGACCAAGAGTAGTTTTACCCACGCCACACATCCCCACAATTCCAATTGCCTTGACACCTTCATGATCATCAGGTGTCCGATCGAGCAATATTGCTTCCATCTTATGCAACTGGCTAACCAACCCATGAGTCTCGAATGGATGGAGTGGTGGAATATTCTCTGGTAGATGAACTGTGATAGAGTCTGGTTGTAAAGAAGCTTCACGAATTGCATCATTCTTTGTTTGTTGCAGCTTTTTTCTGATTCGAATCAGTTTCTTTCCGGTTTTATGAAGAAACCAATACTTCTTCAAGGCACGGGGATTGACATGACTTTTCTTTTCCTGAGTTTTGAACTTTCGCTCCTTCTCTGCTGAGAGAACGCAATTTGCCAACAAGTACCTGAAATCACCAATGCACCACTAGCCTAATCAGGGCAGAGTCGGGAATTCTGGTTTTGAATATATATATTTTTAATAATATTAATTAGTACATATATGGAGGAAAATATAATCCTAAATATTAGAAAGCCAAACCTAAATAAATAGAGATTTAATTTTGAGGGAAAAAATGAGTACTTTAATTCCTTTTTGAGAAAGGTACTCCAGACATAATTAGCATCTTCACGAAAGATTAATAAAATATAAAAATAAAAAATTGTACCATTTTAATTAAACAAAATATGGCAAGCTTTAACAAAGCCAGACTATTATGAATAAAATAAATATGAACTTTAATAACTTATGCAAAAAAAAAGCTGTACAATGTCTTTTTAAGAGCAATTCTAATGGACTGCTATTTTCAAAATATAGCATATAGGTTTAAAATGGGCTCTCCAATGACATGTCAAATGGGCTGTCAGAATATAACTTTGCCAAATGTTGTGCCAAATATAACACAACATATAGTTATTGTCAAATCTGTTATTGGTCTCTTCCTTCTCTCTTCTCTCTGGCATGAGCTGCCAATTTAGTGTTGTGCTTGTATATATATATATATGTCAGTTGTGCTTATATATATATATATATCAGTGTTGTGTGTATATATATGTATATGTCTGTTGTGTGTGTATTTATATATATGTCTGTTCTACTTATATATATATATATATATATATATGTCAATATTTTTATTTATTTATTTTTAATAAGGCAAATAAGTTAAATAAAATACAAACACTCACAAAAATAATAATAATAATAATAATAATAATAATAATAATAATAATAAATAGTTGTTGAAAATTATAGTTGAGAATGGTAGTTAAAAAATAATGGTTGTTGTGTCAAAAAATAACATTTTGGATGAAATGCACCATTGGAGTAGAATTACTAAAATATAGCATTTTGACACTATATCTCCTTTCAAAATATAAATTTGACATGCAAAAATGACATTTTGCATTGAAGATGGTCTAACAAATGACAACTAAAAATATTGTTACCGGCAATTTTGCTAATTTTAAATATTTTTCTTGTTAACACTATCTAAAAAAAATGCCTGCTAACACTATCCAAAATATATATATATATATATATATATATATATATATATATAAGTATGGTAATTATATGTTGCAGTGGGTACTTATTTAATTATTAAAAAATAAAATAAAATAAAAAACAAATACCTGAGATCATACAGCCAATTCTTGATTATAATAGGCGTGGAATCGTCGATGGTCTTGTCTTGCAGGACCTCAAGGATCTCCTGTAAATGAAGACGGAGGGGAAGATCGCCGCCGAATTCATCCACCGCTTCTTGAAAGTCAGTGATGAATCTGTCCTTGAGAAATTGTAAATGATCAGCAGCCATGTGATTTTAATTTTAAGCTTTTAGCTATAGCTAGCTATCCCTTCTTTCTTTTCTCTCTCTCTCTATAAGATTTTAGTTCATCACAGCAAGGGATAGTCACTAGTCAAGGCCTGGATTATATTTGTTGATTTTTCTTGAGTACTACTACTACATATAAATGCGAACATATAAATGCGAACGCAGCTGAAATGAAGTTGCCACGAAGAATCCAACAAATATATACATATATATATGAATGTTGATGGAAATGCATGTATATTTATTTGATTTGTTATTGATTTCTATAAGGATGTGTCTTTGGTAAATTTTTTTTTTTTTTATTTTGTTAGAATTATTTGAGAACTATTTTGGAATTTAGTGTTGTTGGTTAACTGTTACAGGCATTTTTTTGTCCAGTTATGCTTGTGGTTAGGTTGGGTGGGTGACTATGACTCTGCGTGTGGGGTAGTGGGTGTCTTTGTCAGCGTTGTGTTTGGTGTGTGTACAAATACAGTACAATGTGTGTGTATGTTATACAGTATATTCTATCTATATACTACGAGTTCTACTCGTATAATATTAGTTTGATGGGTTTTAAATAAAATAGAGTTAAATAATATATATGTATATATAAATATAAATATTATAGTAAAATAATTAAGGGTGTAATTATAAATACTAATCGAGTTATATAGGCATGTATAATGATAAACTCTCTCAATGCATATTATAAATTATTAAACTTAGGTGATCTTAAATAATTAGGAATAATAAATATTTTGTATTATTTTCACTCAAGTGACAACCTAATCCTGGGAATAGTAAAATTTGTACTTTGAATTTTAACGTGATAATATTTAAATTGAATTTGGTAAAAGAAAACTTGTAACACTTTGTTACTAGTACATGTCCATTCGATGCTAGCTCTAGGTTGACTGTAACAAGGGTCATTTATTTCACATCAAATTCGAATGAAAAAGTAATTAAGTAAATGGACAAACGTCCACTCGTTAATTGACCATGGTGAATTGGGCTGCTTTATGCTGGGGCATTGTACTCTTATATACTTCTTCATACCCAGTTTATTTTGACCTAAACGAGGGAACATCCTCTACATCTTTATACATGCATGTGTGGGTGAACTGGGCGGACAAGTTAGAGGATGGCCTAAGGCACCCAATGGCCTCAAATTTTTTTTGTTTCTTTACATATTTAAACTTTTCTTAAAAAAGATTATTTTTTCCAATTATTAAACCTCAACCAAAAGAGAAATTTGATAGAAGGCCCATTTCTATCGCCATCTTCTTCTCTTCTTTTCTTTTTCTTTTTTTCCAATGGCCTAAAAAAATGTTCTTTACATTTTATAAACAAACAACCAATAGAGAAATTTAATAGTAAGTCCAAAATATTTTCATCTTTATATCATCCGTTTTTTACTCTATCTTATCCTCATCACATCAGCCTACACAAACACACACACATGTATGTACGTATGTACAAATAGGATGCAATAAATAAGGACATAAAAGAGAGTGATTAAATTTTATTCCAAAAATAGTTATTATCACTTTTGTGATTTTGTAATTATATCTATTTGTACATTTGTGATTGGATCATAACAAAGGTCATAATTAAACAAGTACATTAATTTCGGAATACTCCTTTGTCTTTTAAAGAGAATAAATTTGAAAAAATTCTCTCTTATCAATATGATAAAAAAGAATTAAAAATCCACTACGATAAATAAAAAAATAAAAAAAAAAAATTGAATTCTCCAAAAAGCCCAAAATTTTTGAGACAGAGGTAATATTAAGCCATATTTGGTAACTGTTTATGTTTCATGTGTTGCGGACCTGCTACTGTAGATTGCTGCCCGCAATCATGTTTGATAACTTGGGCCATGCTTCCAACAGTACTGAAACATCTCATAATAAAAAATAAAAAGGGCCTTATTTTGAAAACAAGAAATTAGTGTTTCCTGTTTTGGGCCTAAAGTGTTTTAGCCGATTTGGGCCAAAATTTCTCTCACCAACTGAAGTCTTTTCCTTTCAATGTTCCTCAAATCTAGGGCTGCAAGTTGGGTTGGCCCAACTCAGCCCAGTCTTAACCCAATCTCAACCTGAATCGGGTTGGGTTGGGCTAACCCGAATTGTATTTAACATGGGTTATGACCATAACCCAGTCCGAAAATTTTTGGACGGGTTGGGTCGGGTTGACGGGTTGAAAACTTTGTTTTTAATTTTGGAAATTTATATATATATATATATATATATATTATATATATTTGATTATATTATTATTAAAACAAATTATATATATATATATATCTATATATATATATATTTTATTTAGGGCAAATCATTTTAGCTTCCCCAATCGCCTCTCTCTCGCCTCTCTGAACTTGCCTCCCCCCTCTCTGTCTCTTTTTTTCTGCAATAACTGCAAACTACAAAATCTACAAGAATCAGAACTTCAAAGCCCATATATTTTAGTTTCATCTATCTGTCTGCAACAATCAAAAGTTCAAAACCCATATCGGCATATCATTTCAGATTGTTCAAAAAATCAAAACCCAGATCTTTCAGTTTCCATCGCCGAATGTTCCAGATCGGGTTCACCATTTGCCGTTCGCAAAGCTTCAACCGCTGTCTCTCAACTCTCAACCATTTCAGATCGTTCAAAAAATCAAAACCCAGATCTTTCAGTTTTCATAGCTCGCTGTTCCAGATCCCGTTCGCCGTTCGCAAGCTTCAACCGCTGTTACTCTCAAGCTGGCCCCCCTTTTTGTAACTGCTAACTTTTTTTTGGGTAAATCTGCAACTGCTAACTTGAATGTACGGGGACGGTAGAGAGAGAAAGAAGAAAGAGAGAGAGAGAGAGAGAGAAAGAAAGAAGAGAGAGAACGGAGGAAAAAAAAAAAAGGAATATTTTTTTATTTTTTTATTTTTGGGTTCGGGTTGGGTTCGGGTTGAGCCCGAGCCCAACCCGAATATGTCTAGGTTTTGACAAAATTCAACCCGATCATGAACCCGATTTGTAAACTTAAAGTCCAAATTTTAAATTTTCGGGTTGGGCTTGGGTTGGGCTAGGTTAACCCGCCCAAGTTGCAGCCCTACTCAAATCCCATTTGGATTCATTTCCAACAGATTCCTTGGTTTCTACTTTCTACATCAGATCCAATTCTTGGCATGACCTAGTGGACTTGTGCCAACCACAGAAAGTCTCACAGAAAGTCTATCCAATTTAGAGATAAACTACTTATCTAAAAGATTTCAGACCAATGGAAAATCAACAGTCTACCTGATGATCAATGACATAAATTTGGAAAGAGATGGGCTTAGGACCCCCAAACTCAGAGTCAGTTTCATTGCTGGCAATTGCGTCTATTGTCGGAAAATTTTATAATATCTCGGGTACCGTATCTCCGGTATTTCATTGAATATAATGATAAGGATCTACTGGACAGATGATCTAATGATTGGACTATCCCAAATAGATATTTGGGGTACTAATTTCCTATAGAACTTTATTTGGCACTTATTTCTGTGTGTGCTTAGTCTTGTACAAAACTTTTCTCTCTTTTATACCAGATGCATGCATATGATTTGACATTCCGTTTGTAGAGTAAAATGTTTTTTGAAAATTATTTCTGTGTTTAATTGTGGTAAAATATTTATTAAGAAAAAAATATGAAAACCTAATAAAAATAACATCCAAACAAATGGAGCTTCAGTATTAGGATATCTGATTAACCTCTTGAAAGTACATAGGATATCTGTATTTTCAGAAAAATAAATAAAATAAAATAAAACATATATCTTTGTTTTAATAGCACATATATTTTCCATGGTTAGAAGACATTTCATAATATTAAGTACCATATACTCAAAAAATCAAAAGAGAGGAAATCAGGAAATCATATAAGAAGTTCAGAAAATCAGCTGCAAGTTATTGCAAGCCAATTCCTCCGAATACAAGCCAACTGAAAACACAATTACTAGCCGCTTGAAATCTGATTAAGATATAACTGAAATCAAAATCACTCGAATTTTTCAAATGTCAAAGAGAGTATATATATCCCTTCTAAATGCATGGGAAGCTTTGCCACCATTTCCGTTGTTTTAGTGCTCCGGCTTCTTCTTGATTTGAGTTTCTTTCCTTGGTAGACTTCCTCTCGGGTTCATTATTTTGTGCCAAGTATACCGAAATAAGCTCCGTGTGACAAAATTTCCCCAATTCCCTCGCTATTTCTAGGACATTGCAGCTTCCTGTAATTGTTATTCTATCATCGCCTGGTCCTGGAAAGACGCGATGAACTCCTACAGAGTTCACCAGAAAAAGGTTAAATGGCACTCTTTAACTAAACAAAACCTTTAATATTGAAGTGTCTGTGTGTGTTGTGTGTTTCCCTTCTGAAAACAGGGTGTTCTTGAAGTTATACCTGGAAGAGTACTAACTTTCTCTATGACATTCCAGTAATAAGAAACAGGATGATCAAGTTCGAGCTTCAAGCAAAAGTCCTGTAAAAACAAAGAAAACATTTATGGATTTGGCAGACAATTGGTTAAGGTTTTGGCAACTAAGTGAGAGACAGAATAACAGGCACCACAAAATCTAGATATATAGACCATGATTGAAGATAGCAAAAGGCACTAATCATGTAAAATTATTCAACAGAATTTGGGGGCAGTGAGAAAATCAAACCTTGTGTACACCTGAATTTGACCAATACCTGAGATGTATTAGCAGAATTTTAGAGAGAATCCTTCCATATGACCAAAAAATGTACAATGGTTAAAATTATTTTAAAGAATAAACTATAGGAGATCAAGAATAGAAGAACATTACTCTTGCTTGCCAAGTTGAGTAGAAACAACCTCTGCCAGTGTCTTTGCTGCTAAAGGAAGGCCATGGCAAGTGTAAATAATATAATCCTTCATCCTTGACAAAACTTGGTGATGATATTTAGTTACAAAACTTGACACCAAAGTGCCTCTGCATCGAATATGGGCTCGAGTCTCAGCAGGTTTTTCTCACCCACCATGTTTATGGCAACATCGTCAAATCTACTGGTTACAATGATGGCACCCCCAACCCCCTTTGGCAAGCCATGAGTAAAACGGCTAATGTCCTCTGTGCATACATTGTCCAGTACAATCAAGTACTTTCTTCCAAATAGCTTCGCATCAAGATCCTGCAGCTGACCCCCATCTTTGGCGCCCAAATGTGTCACCAAATGAGTTGCAATTTCTAGTGGATCTGCTTTGAAAGATAGCTTAACCCAAATTACCGGAGAAAAATCTCTCAAGAATTGGAAATTATGGACTACCAATCGGGCAAGAGTGGTTTTACCAACACCACACATTCCCACAATTCCAATTGCCTTGATACCATCATGATCATCAGGTGTTACGTCAAGCAATGCTTCCATCTTATGCAACTGGCCAAGGAACCCATTTGTTTCAGATGGATCAAGTGGTCGAATATTCTCTAGTAGATGAACTGTGATAGGGTCTGGTAGAAAAGAAGCTTCACATATTACATCATTGCTTGTTTGTTGCAGCTTTTGAGTGATTCGAATCAGTCTCTTTCCAGTTTTACGAAGAAACCAATACTTCTTCAAGGCACGGGCATTGACATGACTTTTCTTTTCCCGAGTTTTAAGCTCTCTCTCCTTCTCTGCTGATAGAAGGCACTTTGCCAATAAGTGCCTGAGATCATACAGCGAATTCTTCACCACAATAGGCGTGGAGGAGTCGAACCACTTCTCTTCCAAGACCTTTAGGATGTCCTGGAAGTGAAGACGGAGGGGAAGATCGCCACCAAATTCATCCACTGCTTCTTTGAAGTCAGCGATGAATCTGTCCTTGAGAAATTGTAAATGATCAGCTGCCATGATATTTTGTCCCTGTAAGATTTTAGTTTTCGAGCTATATCAAGTTAATTTTCTCCTCTCCTGTATAAAATGCAACCCAATGCTACTACTGCTTCAAGAAGTTGCTTTGGCGAGAATATTACATTGTGGAATATACATGTTTTTGCGCATAAGACCACAGAAGTCTTAAGTCATGCCTTGTCCTCTAACATGAGTTATGCGAATGGGCTAGCCAACGCGTGGATGGTACCAGGAAGACACCCACGTTGTTTCATTCGTCATAGCGGCCTTTGATGGATTACAATACTTCCTCTATCCTAAAAAAAAAATGTCCACCTTTCTATTTTGTAGCGATTAATTCCCCTTTCAATGATATCTACAATTAAGAAGGAATTTTGCTTCTCTAATCAAACTGAATAAATTGATGTTGACTCTAATTTCGTTTCTATTAAATCAAGAATATCACCCTTAATTACTAAAGTGTTTAAGTGTGTGTGTCGCATCCCGAATTCGGAGGACCCGGTGCCAGAATGAATACAACCTGAAACTCGAGTCTCAAATGCTGCAGCTAAAGTCAAAACACGATCAATCTGATTGGTCAACACCTCAACGATAGTAACGGATTCTCAAGGGCCCCACACTAGTCAAGAAATGGTATTGGAGTGGATCATGTGTAGTGTCCCGTATACTTTTTGCAGTTATCTGTATTTTCCTTATTTTTATATTTATTAATTTTTGAGCATTGATTTGCATGCCACATGGATTTTGAGAGTCATTTAGGACATTTCTTTGAGTATAGAACTCTAAAAAGTGCATTACGTTGCGTTTCAGTAATTTTGGATTTTTGGACCCGAGAGGTTCTGTGTGGGGCAAGGGCCGGGTTTCCGTGCTCGGAAAATTTTCCGACATCATTACATTTCATCATTAATCTTAGGATCTTAAAGGAAAAATCGCATAACCCCCCCTACTATTATCCCCCCCCCCCTTCCAAAAAAAAAAAAAACTATAAACCGTCATTACATTGCCCCATTTCTGTTTAAACCCATTAACCTGCCGTGAAATGACAACTATATCCCCATAATATTATATGAAATTTAAATACAAAAGAAATGTATTATTTGGAAGTAACAAAACGCGGTCGTATATATTATAACAACCCACCCTTTTCAACCCTTTGTCTCCCACCAAACCCTTTGTCAGAAGACTTGAAACCTCACCGAAATCTGAACCACATAGGTTCCTCTTCCGATCTTCCGGCAGACATAATCAGGCGTCTGATTGGTGGGACAAAGATTGGATTACAGTCAGACGCAATCAGATTGAGAAAAACATCAAATTTTTCGAGGAGATCGAATCGCAATATGAATACAGATGATAGAGAGTTAATTAATGTCTTCAATTGTGGGTCTTCTTCAGAATCGCAATAGAATACAGATGACATTTTTTTTTCATGGGTATTTTTAGAGAGAGAGAGAGAGGGGTACAAGTCTTCTCTGCTATCTCTGTATATGTATATATAAGAGATTTCAACTTACATGATTATCTCTCAATCGTTTATCTCTCTGTATATATATATATATATATATATATATATATATATATATTGATATTGTATCATTCATTCCTTTAATTTTGCGAAGGGTGTGCCGCTGTGCAATTGTTAATTAGTTTCCGAAAAAGGTTAAAATTTCTGAGATTAGCAAGGGAGATGATGTACGCCGGAATTTTGTCGGAGATTGATTTCCAGTCGATTCCGGCACCAATCACTCCACCTCGTCGCTCTGTTTCCGCCAATTTTAATGACAGCCATGGTTGCAAGAAAAACTAATATTTTCGATATACCCAATCTGAGATAATCATATAAGAAAAACATGGACTGAGATGATGATGGCTGCAAAATAACACCAAGCCCACTGCGTACTTTATCCTTCTCCTCCTATCCTACACCTTTGGTTACTTATCTGTTCCATCCTCTGACTCATCACCTCACCCTCCGACTCCAATAAATTCCCAAAACACGTTCAGTACTAACACTGCCGGCGACCTCAACCACTACTGTTTCACGACTATTTGCACCGACCCAGTTCCTTCCAACCTCGTGCGCCAAACGATTCTTGACCGAGTGTTCAACGGCACATCCCCGTACGACAAGTTCTCCCCGGCGCACGTTATCTCCCTCCTCCGTCAGAAGAGAATCAAAGGGTGGGGGTCGTACGGCGCCGTCTTTAAGAATCTAATCCGCAAAGTCCAACCCAAGACCATAATTGAGGTAGGCACGTTCTTGGGGGGGTCAGCGATACACATGGCCTCAACAATAGTTCATTATACTGGAGTTTTAGGTTTTGATGTTTTTGGACTGACGATGATGGCTGCAAAATAACAATTATTTTGTATTTAAATTTTAGATTATATTATAGGGGTATATTTGTTTCTTTCCTTTGTACACAACACACGCTTATATATATACAGTACACAACACACTCTTATATATATAATATAACACAGAAGAGGACAGGGAAGGGGTATTTTAGGGGAAATTTTTTTTTGATAAGCGCGCGTTGGTCACACGCTACTACTTAAACGCCAGGTTAACGGGTTTGAATGGAAAGGAGGCAATGTGATGACGGTTTATAGTTGAGGGAGGCGTTTAATTTTAGTGGGGGCAATTTAATCGAAGATAATAGCAGAGGGGGGTTATGCGATTTTTCCCCTTAATCTTATTTGGTGTATTTATATATAGATACATGTGGCTAGATATTTTAATGGCTTAGTTGTAGTTGTTTATGGCCGTGAGGGGCATTTTTGTAACTTTCTTAAAAGAGGTGGGGACCACCAATTAAGCGTGTGATTAAAGAGGGGTCTAGAATCTGATTTTGACCTCAAAAATGATCATCTCACCCTCTATCTCATTCTCTCTCTATATCTATCATTTTATCTCTCTATCAACCAAATCCACTACATATAATCCTATATTTGATTTACTTGGGGGGTGATTCAAGCTTTGGGCTAGTTAAAGAAAGTATTCTACTCATCAAGGGCTTCCATTTCCTACCAATTTTGGAGGCATTGGAGCAAATCCGAAATTGGAGAGCTAGGGATTTGGCTTGAATTTGAGATAGAGTTTGTCTAACTTGTGTAATCCTAGATTGTTGTAAGTATGTTTTTCATATTTCCCTTGAATTAAGCATGTTTAGTATGATGTAAATTGCATGAATTGAACTATATGGTCTCTTATGTGATGGTTTCTTTTCAAAGTGTTGATTCACATGCTATGTCAGGCTCTCCTTGTTGCTAGTTCATGAAGACCATGTTATCTTGATACTACTTGATGAATTTCTTGAGTTATATGATTAATGTATGATACTTTGCATTGAAATTAAAGTATGTCAATTTAGGAAAATTTTTTTTTTAAGTATATCATGTTTGGCACAACACTTATTTGATTATATGTCTATGTGAAATTGCCTTATCACTTCAGCACAATTATGCAACTATAAACATGATGGATTAATGAAACTATCTTAATTTGACATGTTGAGGCATAATTGTCATATATGTTCATGTTATTCTACAATGCATTGGGTGTTCAAGAGGTGATGTGTGCAAGGACTTGTCCCTTTTTTCATTTTTTCACTATTTTCATTTTTTTTTTTTTGTTATTTTTGGGTCTCGGGTCAAGTGGGGCCGGATCGGGTCAAGTGTTTGGATTTTTTTTTTTTTTGATACGTTTATTATTTTTGGGATATATTGGACCTATATATTTAATTTGAGATGGTTTGGACATCATATTTTATTTTGAAGCATTCACGTTATTACTTTCCAGATATTTTCTAATTTTAGGCCATTTTGTAATTTTGGCTTTTTGGGGGTCACCTTTGACATTTTGAGGTTTTGGAGAGATATTTAAGCAAGATGGGGTCCTTGTTTGACAATCATTCTCTCTCCCTCAAACGTACTCTCTCTCCCTTATCTTCTGTTCTTTCCTTTTTCTTTTCCTTTTGGATCTTAGCTTCAAAAGCCAGTTTGATCTCCTTCCACTTGGATTTTACCGACGCCAATGAAGGGTTTTACAACGGGGACACCAAGGGGAACAATACCCATGGTTTTGTTTTTGATTCTGGGCATTTTGGGTTTATGGAGCTGAGTTCGGGTTTAGATTCGGAGGCGGCAGTATGAGACTTTGTCGTTCCTGTCGCTCCTTCAAGGTTGTAGATCATTTGGGGTATTTTCATTTTTGGAGATTTTGAGATTTTCATCTCAATGAGGTAGGGATTTGTCGCATACGTACTACTACGCTTTCTTTGCGTTCTGTGAGTTAGTTTGGAGTTATACATACGTATGTGTGTGTGTATATATATTTAGAATTGTTTAGATGTATTTACAATGTCCTATTTAATGCTTCTAGGAAGTATTGTTGATTTTTATGTCTAAAATGTTTAGGGATGTATTTATTTAATTATAGATGTATTGTTTCAATTATTGATAGTAAACAAGGTGTGTAACGACCCAAACCGGGATTCGGATCGCTAACCGGGTCCTTAACCAAACCCGAGGACACACTAGGGGTAAAATGATCATTTTACATTGTAAGAGGGTGATGAGACCTTAAACTAGTCAAATGAAGTCTAAAATGATTATTCTAGACCTTCCAAAATGCTCAGTGAGGTTCTACGGTCATCGGGTAAGAATTCCCAAAAGTAGATTTACCCGGTTCAAGAGAAATTTTGACACTTTTCCACTAAAATGACCATAACTCTCTACATGAATGGAATCTAAGGATGAGGTTAGTCTCATTGGAAATCTAACTTAAAATCCTTGAAAATGGACTCAAGAATGGCCATATTTGGGTTCGGAACGAAGAAGTTATGACCGTCCGAAGCCTTGTGATCAAAGTTATTAAACTGTCAAGGCAAAATGGCACACTAGAGGACTTGAACCAGTTCACGATTCTTGAATCTGTTCAAGATGGGCAGAATGCTCATTCTTAAACCCTAGGACCCCCCTTGAACTGGTTCAATGGGGCTGAACCGGTTTAATATGCCCAGAACCTCAAATTCGCCCCATACAGCCTAAAATTAAAGTCTTATGCTCCTTGGCACCATTTTGGTCCTTTGGTGACCTTACACAAAGCCCAAACCT